GTATCGAGCGCTCTTACAGTACCCTGTCCATCAATCGAGCTGGCGTTCGGTGGCTAACGCTCGCGGATCCGAATCCAGGAGCAAAGCGCAGAATCTGGTTCGTCACCCAGACGCAAACAGATCCACCTGGAACGACCCGAACAACTGGGAGATAATCCCGAATATCTCCCGGTCGGCATCCACTCGTGTGGGGCTAGTATCGCCGTGAGAGTGCATCTGCACGGACGTTGTCTACCCCTGGGAGATAAACAGGCAAAACCGAATGCTGAACTGATCGCACCACAGTAGAAACTGCCACGCCTCCTGAAGGAAGCGGCGGAGACACTGTGCGCCTTTGCTTGAGAATGGAAGACATGGCGTTTGATTGTCCATTTCTAGGCGAACCACATGGCCCTGCACCAACACCGGAAGCACTCGAACACCCTGCGGACTGCTCTCAGTTCTAACACATTGATGTGTAGGCTGACTTCCCGCTCCGACCAGGGCGGAGTGCTGAGTGCACTCCAGGACCCCAACCTGTGAGTCCGTCTGAACTGAGAGGGAAGGTGTAGCGGGGGTAGGAGTGTCGAGGGGATCCCCTGGACAAATTCCGACGTCCGTCCACCATCGCAAGTGAGGAATTAACCACTTTCGGGCGTTGTGAGAATAATCACCGTAGCTCTGCTGGGACCACAGCTAGAGCTAACAGCTTGCTGAACAGTTATCCTCAGACGCGCCGCGTAAAACCGATCCACTGTCGCCGCCATGTTGCCTAGCAACCGAAGCCATGTTCGGGCTGGCGCATTGGGCGACTGGAGAAACTGTGTAACAGTCCTCTGGACTTTGGCGATGCGGTCGGGCAAAGGAAACAATCCCCTAGCTCCGTGTTGAATCTGGCCCCAAGAATATCAGATCCTGCGTCGGAGCGAGGTCTGATTTCTTGAGGTTGATAATCCAGCCCAGTGACACCAGAGTATCCATCATGCACAGTGTGGAGGCTCTGCTTAACTGAGGACCTAAGGCCCTGAAGCCAATCGTCAGGTACGGGTGACAACACCTGCCCTGAGACCTGGCTAACTGAGCTGGGATTAGCATAAGTTTGGTGAACACCCTTGGCGCCGTGGAGATGCCGAAGAAGAACACGCAGCGAAACTGGTAGCGCGTCCCGTCGAAGGAGAACCGGAGGTACTTCTTGAACTTCGGGGAGTGCATTGGAACATGGAGGTATCGTCTTTGAGATCGATTGGCGTAAGCCAATCCCTGTCACCGACGGAGGAGATCACTGACCTGAGTGTCTCCATCCTGAAAGACGGCACCTCCAGTAACTGGTTCAACCCTCTGAGATTCAGAATGGGTCTGAACCCTCCGTCCTTTTTGGTCACTAGGAAGTAGGTGGAATAAAACCCCTCTCCTTGTTGACCCACAGGAACCACCTCGATGGCTGCCTTGTTCAGTAAGGACTGAACCTCGGCACGGAGCGCGTCCGCCTTGTCGGCGGGAGGTCGGCACAAGCGTGTGCGAACCCCGGAGAAGGACGGAGGATCTCGCCTCCACTGTGGCAAATGGCCATCCCTGAGCGTGGACAGGACCCAGGGATTTGAGGTGGCTGCCTCCCACTCCCGGAGGAATAGGGACAGCCGGCCGCCGACAGGGACGTGTGGCAGGAGGCAGTGCACCCCCCACAGTCGGCAAGTCTCCGCTTGCGTGAGTGGGGGGCAACAAGGGCTCTGGGGAAGGAATCAGCGGGAAGCCGGGGCTGGCTTCCCCTTGCCCCGAAAAGGCTGCTGCGCTTGAGCAGGCTTGCCCTTGCCTCTCGCGCGCCTGCTCCGCTTGGACTGCAAAGGGGCAGTCCACTTAGCAACATCCTTCGCCGGGGCAGAAGGATAAGCGGACGCAAGCGGGGAAGGCCGCTGGCGAGGAGCGGAGGGCTGCTCCAACAAAGGCTTTGAGTCTTTGAAGGTAGAGACAGCCTCCGCGGCCTCCCGTACTACCTGCAATGCCCCAGGGAACAGGGAGGATCCCATGGTATAGGGCAATGACAGGAGCGCTTGTTGTGTGGCCGGCGAATACCGCGCCACAGACAACCACAGGCGGCGCAAGCCCATGACGGCACCCATCATCTGGCTGGCACAGCACCGAATGCTATCCCTAGCCAGATGCGAGTGTACGTCCGTGAGCTGGCGCGCGAGCACCGACTCCGATGAGTCGGCGCCACAAGCGCTGTGAGCCACCAGCTGTCCCTGCAGTGCAGACAGGTAGGCCGAGTGGACTGCTACTTTGAGGTGCTGGGCCGCGCACCGGTAACATTCCTCGAATGACCGGTACGCAGACTTCAGCGGCAGTGAATTAGCAGGAAAAGGGGGGAGGCGCCTGCCCTGCCTGGCCGAGGCCAGGGAAGACGAGGACGACCCCCCTAACGTGACTGAGGCAAAGACGCACTCGTCCACCACTGGTGGTTCGAATAGCGTCTCCTCCCCCAACTGGTACCTCCTGCCAACGTCTGGCAGATCAAATCTCGAGCGAGAACCAGTTAAGAGAGGATTTACCACCTCACCTACCAGTGATGGTAGGATGCGTAGGCGCGCCTCGGCGACCTTGGTAGGCGCAAAAGCCTCCCCCGGGAGCCGAAACTCCGCGGGGTCGAGCGCCTGTGTGGGAACGGCCACCTGGGGCAGGGCTTCGGCAATTTTTTCCCGCACCTGCCTCAGAGACGAGCCAAAGGAGTACGGCACTCCCGCCTCCGGCTCCTCCCTCCCTCCATCGTCCTCCATGTCCACCTCGGCATAATCCTCGGCAGCCGTACTCTCATACTCCTGAGAGACCGCCGAGGATACACCAGAGGCTGAACCCGAAAGACCATAAAGGTCAAGAGGCGCCAGAAGCAACGAGTCGCCCAGCCGGGCAGAACTCGCCCCAAGTCGCCGAGGCGCCCGAGAGGAACCTGCCGCGACAGGCCTCCCGGGCAACCCAGACTGGCTGCCAGGCGCCGAGGTGTCCCCGAGCTGGGCAGTGCCGAGGCGACTGCCAGTCAGGGCACCAGGCGAAGCCAGGGGCAACCCTGCATCGCCGGCGCCAGCCACCTGTGACGGACCTACGCCCGAGCGAGGTCGCCCTTAGGGTGCCGCGCTATCTCCCGCGGCCTAAGCCGGGATCAAGCTGCCCAGGGGGCCAGGCGTTCCCGAGCCTTCGGGCCAGCCAACCAACCCCAGATGCGTCAGATCCACCCCGCACGACCGGCGCGGTGAGCTCCTTACGGAACCCATCCAACGCCGTATCAATGAGAGATTTCACTGACGCCATCTGTTCCTGGAATAAAGCGGTTAGTGATTCAACGGGCACAACTGGTGCCGACACAACAGGGGGAAAGAGACAGGAGCAAGTTGAGGTTTGGTATTAGATGCCTCCTTGGAACCTTTAGCTCTTTTGGGAGCCGGCTCCGTATGGGAAGCGGCTCCCGTAGACCCCTTTTTGTGTGAACGTTTGGACGGGGGATCCTGCCCAGATATCACCCCCGGCCCGAATCAGATTGCTGTAGAACAGCTGATCCGCTCGTCGTGCTCTAATCGTTTGAGGCGTAAAAGTGGCACATGCCACACACCCCTCTTCCTCATGGTCAGTTTGGGTGAGGCAACGTAAGCAGACCTCGTGTGTGTCCTTGACGGGAATGGCCGCAAGGCACGAAGTACAGGATTTAAACTGCAACAAGTAAACAACCTGTGCAGCAATCAACCCCATACACACAGACATATATGAAAAAACACGCATGGGCGACACAACTAATGCGACAACGTAGCATACAGTTGACAATAACCATAATACGCACTGACATAACTACGACTTTTTATTATCGTAAGATAGAAAATGCAAGCAGTGGAAACGCCCTACATGTAACCACATATACGTAAAAATTACTAACCCCACCTGTAACATTGAAAAACCACACGGGAAACCAATGAACAGTGATGCTAGCGAAGGTACCTGGCCGCCATCTTGGCACGCACCCGGCGAGCCGACCGCGACAGGTACCAAGTTACAACTAAAAATTATGAATGAAAAAGTTCAGAACAAGCCTTCAAATCGCCCATGCAGGGAAAAAAGAGAACCATACATACAGTTGCTGTTTCTGACCCACTCATAATTCTCGCCGGGAAAAGAAAACTTTCTTGTAATGGACCCACGTCTATGTCGGGAAACGACAGCATGGAAAGTGAGGTACGAGGTTACGGTCTAGAGTTACCTGCTCTTGGCTGTAGGGGGCCAGAGGGCCCTGTAAGGGTGGTCTCACAAGACAAAACGTAGTTTTTGTTTTGTAAATATTTTATTCAAATATTGTTACAACTGTCGTAGGGATTTTAAATGGACATTTAAATGCTTATAAGTACCCCAAGGAGGAATATATAAAAAAGAATCGACTATAATCTACGTATTCATGTCACCCAAGCTTTGAAATACTTTCTGCAGGTAACAAAAGTCCTCATTGTTAAATGATTTGGGTGGCCAAACTTGCCTCATTAAAATAATTTATCTTTAAACAAGGTGACATAAGAAATTTTCAATTTAATTCACATTTTTCAGTGATTAAGAGAATTGAAGTAAGTGGCCAAACTCAGACTCATGAATGAGTGTTTTTCAAAACCACCAATTAAAAAACATGTTTTTAATAAAATAATGAAGGGCTAAACTGGGATAGAAATAGAAAATACATTTCATCCAGTCAGTGAGATAATTCACAAATGTAGAACACAACAACATATTGTAAATAATCATTCAGAAGTTTCCTAAGTAGTCAGTGGGGTTTATTTTAAATCTGCAGGGCTGCTGCTGATGTGTATCATCTGTTCCACGTTGGGGACACAGAGAAACTGTTCAATGAGGCATTTCGTGAGCATGCCACGACATCGACAAACTGTGAGGGGGACCTGGTTATGGATATAGAGCATGAACAGCAGTGGCGCCTCAACTGGACAGAGAGACTGAAATGTACCAACTGTGGCTAACTGTCTATGCATCATAAGCTCTACAAGGAGGTAGAAGTAGCTGTGGCAAAGAAGGGACGTCGCTCCTCCACTGCTAACAGTGGACTCCAGATAGGCCTGTCGAAATGTCCCATGGGGAGTGAGAGTTTCCGTGTCCTCTGCATGAGTGCAGATATTCCACCCCCATCCAGTTCAGGCATGCAGAAAGCTGCAAACAGAGTTTGTGATGATATTAAATCTCAAAATGTGAAGGATATGAGGGCCGGGAGGGTGGAAATGAGGGAAATAAATAAATACAGGGGAACAAATTTAAATAATGTTAGCATGTCTACAGATGGCATGTACAACAACCCACTTAGTTCAGGTGTTGGGAAAACCCCTTTCCAGCCCGCCACTCAAGTTACTCTATGTTCAAAGCTGTTGACAACATTTCTGTGTAAACAATCCAGACTGCACTGCTGATTTGCACATGTCAGAATCATGTCAGTTAGCGGCAGAGTGTTTCAGGGACAAAGACCAAATTGATGTAGAATTTTTGACAACAGATGCTGATAGTGCAGCTTACACAGCTCTCACTGAAATGTATAAAGCAGGGGAGATGGATGTTTGTCTGCAAACTTTTCTCGATACAAGGCATCTATCAGCCAGTTATAGAAAATTCATTAAAAAAATGTGGACATGATGCCTGCTAGAACTAGACAAGATAAACAGAATTTGGCAAATACATTTTCTTTAGACTGTGCATCCAGATGTGCAGCTGAGTTTTCAGCTGCTTACTCAAGTCATGCAGGTGACTTTCCAGGGTTGAAGAAATCTCTGTCATATACCTCTGATGCTATTGCTTACTGTTACATGGGAGATCACACTAAATGCAGAAAGCAGTCATTTGTGTGAAAGGGGGGAGAGCATAATTGGTTATTACACAGTAAATATTTGGATAAAAACTTCAAAATTACTCACAATGGAATTCATTTTCAAAATTTGACTGACATTCATCTCGGCCCTAGAATAATAGACAAGGCCCAATTCAACCTGAATAGTCAAAAGTGTGAATCTACAAACAAGGCAATGCGCAGGCCATTACCTCGTGATACAACCTTTACTCGGAACTTCCAAGGCAGAGCTCACAGTGCTGTGCATAGTGTCAACTTTAAAAGTCCAGCAAAATCACTCTTGACGCTGAGACACGGGCTCGGGTGTGCTGTCACTGCAGAAAGTAAAATTGATAATGAAATCAGCAAAAGCCACAATAAAGTACTAAAAGCTAAAACATACAAGAAATAAAAAATAAGTAAGGACTGCTGTGCTGAGAAAAAGTTAGAATTATTCAAACTCCATCATTGTAAAAAAAAATCAATATTCAAAAGACATGTTATTGAAAAGAAATACTGCATATTTGAAACATCAACACCAGAGAGAGGATCATTCATACACAAAATGGCCCCAAACAGAAAGACAGTAGGGTTTATGACTCTTGGTGCACAAACCCTGTTGTCGACAGTGAATTCTTTCCATATTGTGTTCGTGGGTCTCCACAGTCAAATGGTCAATGTATACACAAGAAGTGTTGTTACAGAGATGGCTCAACTTCAATTTTTTTGCCAGAGCTGTCAGTTTTAACCAAAACCATCTGGTAAACATTTATTTGCTATGCATGGGGCTAATTTGTGGGCTTTTTGTTTGGTTCCTGCCATGGACGGCCACGAAAAGAAACACCGCCCAATAACTAGACGACTTTGCAGTATACAAAGGTGTGCTCCAGCCGGCGAATTCAACTTCTTTGACGCACTTCACTAGGCAGAGAGGCACAACGGATTTAGGCATAAACGAGGGTGGAAACTCAACCTATCGACTAATACATGTGCATGGATTGATAAAACTTTCATTCATCTTCAAAACGAAACACTTACCTCTTCTAAAAACGACTCATTTTATTACTTAAATGACCTGAAAACATAGAGTCCCACCTACTTTCCACCATTTGTCGGCCATACTGTTATGGTAATGAGCGGTCGAATAAAAAGTGGAAACGCATTAAACGTATTTAGGAACAAGTAGAAATTGTTAAAAGTTCATCCCCATTCCTCCGACTTCAGAGCGTCATGTAATCACGGTCCGTTTAATTCGATTCCTTTTTTTGATACCACTGCTAATTACCATAACCAAAATGGTCGACAAATGGTGGCAAGTTGGTGGGCATAGTGTAAAGTATGGAATGGAGTTTGGATTGGAATGATGGAATTGAATTTGGATTTGGAATAAATGGAATATACTCATCTTGTACTAAACAAACCAAGTGTTGTGCCGCCCTTCAAACATTAATTAAATTGACAGTTTGTAAACAGTTCGGGAATCACTTTCCCTCCCGCTCCCAATTTCGTCACCTCCCACCTCCGGATAGAAGATAAGGCTAATAGACAGAGGTGTGGCAATAGCCAACCTCATAGTCCCTTAACCATTTTATTGTTTATCCACGGTTCCAGTGCAATAGGCTCCGAGTAGAGCTGTGCAGTGAGTGAGTTTAGCTTTACCCCGCATTCAGCAATATTCCAGCTATATGGCGGCGGTCTGTAAATAATCGAGTCTGAACCAGAAAATCCAGTGATCAACAGCATAAGCATTGATCTGCGCAATTGGGAAGCGATGACATGTGTCAACCAAGCCACCCGATCCCGTTAGTCGCCTCTTACGACAAGCATGGGTTACTGAAGGTTCATTCTAACCCGGACCTTCACGGGTATAAAGACAACCAACAGCCTTTCCGTATTCCTTTGATGGCAGGATTGATAAAGAAATGCTGTGGTCAGCAGTTCACACCCACAGCAAGAATACTTCCTTATGATTTACTTTTGAAATGGATTGATCACAGAATGTACCAAAGTGCAAAGAGCAAGGAAAAAAGGAAAAGTATTTTTCTACAAAATACTTATTTCCATTAAAATGCGGACTGTGTTGGAAGGGTTTGTCCCAGTTTTGAAATGTGTCAAGTTTTCATGCATAACGAAATTTAACATCAATTGACAGAAGAGCACAAGAAGATATTGTCGCGACAACAAATCAAATACGACTAGACCTCAGAACACTTGACCACACCAATAATTCAATGATGAAAACTATACCCCCTCAAACCTGTTAAGTTATCTAAGAAATATACTGAGCTTTGTCTGTGTACTGGGGTATGGCCTAAAGACACCCACAATCTGAAGTCTTTTAATTACCACTGCTAATAATTTGCATTTAATGAGATGACTGGAATATCATCTACTAGCTGTGTAAGTCCATATAGTGGTACATAAGGTTTTGATTGTACCTTGGTAAATATATTCCTCTGCATCTCTGTCTATAGACACAATAGTGGAGTGAACATATAATCAAGAATTTGAGATTTTAAGTGACAGCTATATTGAGACCATGTAACATTTGTGATAATATAGACATAATATATTGTTTTTATGATATAATATATATGTTATTTTCCTTCCCATGGTGTTTAATAATCCGTTTCCTCCTCTATATATGCCTAATCCTGCCACAACACAGGTGCCTGCCACCATGCAGGTGTGCCGTTAGCCTCACTTCATAGACTTACAGAATAATAATTGCAGGGATATAATTAATTCTATCCCCAAAATAAGCAAGTATAGATACGTAGACAGCACATGCCATCGGCCTTTCTTCGAGACATCTTGTTCTTATTATGTTAATCACCTAGAAAATATTTTATAAATTCAAAACTTATTCCGCCAAAGATATGTGCTTTTGAGTGTGTGGTGGATGGGCCATGGCTGAAGAGAGAAGCTGACACCCAGGTCTCTTAGCTTACGTGCCATATATCAGTGACCAGCTGTTTATAAACTGTCTTAGCATATTACAGAGGAGACTTGTTTATATATAAGAAAATCGGTGTCACTCCAAGTTCCATTCCATATTCCATTCCACTATTCCATTCAAATTTCCACTCCAAAATCCATTCCATACTTTACACTATGCCAAGGTTGTTGGGGTCTTTATGTTTCAGGTCATTTAGTTATAAAGTGAGTCGATTTTAGTGGAGGTAAGTGTATCGTTTTGAAGACGATTGTTTGTTTTAGTAATACATGCACATGCATCAGTCGATAGGTTGAGTTTTCATTCTTGTTTTTGCCTAAAACTGTTCTGCTCAAATTTCTTGCGTAAAGGTGCGTCAAAAAAAATGCACTCGCCGTATAAACTCGATGTAGGCCTTGGCTGGAATACGAGTTTATTCATGCCCTGCTTATCTCGGCTGCCCAACCACTCCCTGCAACCACATTTACCACTTGGGTCACCCATTTTCCTTACAAAATCCCCTCTACATTTGTCCCAAAACGTTTCCATGGCAGTAGATCAACATGGAATACCATAAATGATTAATTGCTGAAATATGCACTTACGGTCCGGCTCAGCGAGCAAACGATTCTCATTTAGTGTAGTGGAACGTATAGTATTGATACTAGTTCATGTGAATAAACTCGTATTCCAGCCAAGGACTACACCTTGGTATAGTGCAAAGTCGTCTAGTTCTAATATGCTGGACTATATTGATACGAGACCTCACAATCGCGATCAAGTTATACTAGTGTCCAAGAGCGTTCGTTGTGGTACTCTCGGATGGTAGTTCAAGAGGCCGAAGACAAAAGTCAGCAGTATAGTTGAAGACAGCAGCAGCCATGTTTATTATGGTTGGATAACAATGGTCGAAATGGTACATAAGATGGAAATCACGTGACAGAACGCACATCGGGACCGAGTGGCCAATGTTCCCGATGTGGAGACCCGCTCTGTCACTTACACACTTTCGGAAGTCGGACGGCGACTCTTCATCGTCGACGTAGTCGTTGGTGAGGCGACGGCCTTGGCCGACGCCCTGACTAGCCGCACAGCCCGTCCGCTTCGGTGGATGATCTGGGCCCGTTTCGTCGCGTCGTCTCTGACTTGTCTCCTTGGTTGGTCTCCGGGTTTGGTCTCCCTGACTGACCATGTGAGTCCGGTTTTATGCATAGGGACATTGCGCCACGTTGTGCAAGGTCACTGACCTGTGCACATGTACATACGTAAGATCCGCCGACGTGGGGAGGTGTTAATTGACATTTACTGATGGCATTGAAGATTAAGGGTCCTGCCCTGAGGGGGGGTTATGATAAAAGGGCCACACCGAAAGATTGCTGAATACATTAGACAGACAAAGTGGATAGAATTTCGGTGGACTTTGGATATATATGGAATAATTATGTTGTTTGAATATATGAAGTTTTACAGAAACTTATTGAAATGGTTTACTCTATGACAACACTATGACACTAGCAAACAATTTCTTCCACTTGCGAAATCTTGAAATAAATTCTGTTATCAGACAAGCATCGCCTTTGATCAGAGCTTTACTTTTGCATCTTTCATTGTAAACTAGGGAAGAGAAGTAACCACATCCAAACGAACAAGGAAACGCCCTTTTCTGAAAAAATGTTCATGTGTTTTGTATTATTTTCCCCTAACGTTAAATTGATGTCAAACGGGTGCTCGTGTTGTCCACATTATGATACACGGTAAAACTATCTAATTGTTTAATATCTATTCAGGGCATTATTTAAATGGTAAAAACAGTTTTTTTTCTGTCGAAAGAGTGGCAAATTCTGACCGTGAAACCTAGATATATGTTTTTGTACAATCACGGAAATATATAGATATTAGAGAGGTTGAGCAGCGCTACGTGTACATGTACGACTACGTGTGATCAGGGGATTCCCCCTAAATGCCTGTGTATTACGTCATCACTATTTGCTGACCTATCATCCCACAAGTTCCCGCTGACGCCTACTTCGAAGGATACACGTAAGTGAAAACTTGTGAGCTTGTTTTAAACAAAACAGCTGAATAGACTGTTGTATCGTTAAGATAGTGTGTTAAAATAAGTATCAAGGTATCATCCAGTAATAAATTAGTGACCAGTTTCTGTGAAATATAACGCGTTTTTTGCAGCCGTCTAGACACGAGAGTTAACCTATCGCTAAAGGAAGGTCATCATTAGAATCGTTGATATTAATTATTTATCATCGAGCATATGTTCCAGACATGTGTCTTTATATGAATAATTTCGTATTTCAGTATGGCACAACGCAAAACGCAAGTCAGGGTTTCTGAAAATCAGACGATGTCAAATTGCCGAGGGGAGTTCCAGTTGGCTGCCAACCCGTTCAAAGACAAGGAGGAAAATGGCAAACAGCAGCGAACAACTTGACAAAGTACACGGTCAGACTTCAAAGAAAGTCGATGCTAGAGCGACTTAGGGAGAGGCCGCACTTGATGTTAGACCACTTATGCAAAGTAACAATGGTTTATCGATGTTTTGTTGTTTTCGTGGACATGTAGGGTCTTTAATATGTATTTGTGTTCTCTAAAATCAGATCACTCCCGGATGAGACAACCCTACTAAGAGAGAAGTAGTACCAGCGTACTAGACTACCTCAATACTAAGTCAGAGCAGGAGGCAGAAGCTGAGAAGACAGGAACTGGATATGAGGAAGGAGGAACTGAAACGTGAGGAGAAAGATTTGAGCAGGAGAGAGAAGAGAGGGAGACAGAGAATGGAGCAGGAGAGAGAAGACAGAGACAGAATGGAGCAGGAAGAGAAGAGGGAGACAGAGAATGGAGCAGGAGAGAGATGAGGGGAGACAGAGAATGGAGCTGGAGAGAGAAGGGGAGACAGAGAATGGACCTGGAGAAGAGGGAGACAGAGAATGGAGCTGGAGAGAGAAAGGGGAGACAGAGAACGGAGCAGGAGAGAAGAGGGGAGAGAATGGAGCAGGAGAGAGAGACAGGAGACAGAGAATGGAGCAGGAGAGGGAAGAGGGGAGACAGAGAATGGAGCAGGAGAGAGAAGAGGGGAGGCAGAGAATGGAGCTGGAGAGCAAAGAAAAGACAGCGTTGTTTGAACTCTTACAAAAATGTATTAACAAATAATTATTAAGAATGAAATGTACTACACATTCAAGACAATGAATGTGTAACTTGAACTGTACATGTAACAGATTTGCATTGAATAAATATACAAGACATTGGAATATACATGACAGTTATCTTTACAATCAATATTTCACTACCAGGGGCATAGCTAGCGTATTCGCAAAAGGAAATTGCCTACACATAATTGTTGTAACATTGAAAGCACTTTGTCTTCATTTCTGGTGTCTCCCGCCGTGATATTGCTGGAATATTGCTTAAAGCGGCGTAAAACCATACTAACTCACTCTACATGAAAGCACAGGTCTCAAACAGTTATAATCTAGTTTAGGTGCGCATGTATTCTTGAAGTGATGGTGGATCGAGCTGAACGAAAATGCTAGTTTCACTTCCATACAGGCAAGTGTGGCAGTTTGTAAGGATAGCAGCAACTTTGTAGTACTTACCAACTGGCTGCAAATACAGTTTTTGGTTCTTCTTGAAATCTAGAAATGCAAATAGTGTGAGCAACTTGCCAAAAGTCCACTCAACACAGACTCTGACGGCTGACATCTTCTTGTTGAATAGAGCTTGATTAGCTGTTATCACGCCTCCTCTGTATGACGCTATTAGTTAAGGTGAAATTGGATTCGCTGGGTCACCATATACACAAAACACATCATTGTTTCGAGTTGTCATTATTCTCTGACATGTCCTTTTAAACCTCGCTTTCTCTCAACATACCAGCATCATGGCGTCGGCCTTCAATGGGGCCATAAAAATGGGCTATCATTCCATTGGGTGCTACTATACTCTGGTACTTCAAACCATGTACACGTTTATGTCCATTGAAAACGAGATTTTGGTTTGTTGAGGCCGGCATATCGGTCGCACAGTACCATCAATATACCCCCAGCAGTTAGTGAGAGGTGAACCTTGGTAATGAATGGATCAAGACATATCTTCTAGATGACCATGTGATAGCCAAGGTTTGTCCAGATTGTCTGGTAAATGACTGTGCATGTTATAAATGTAATTTAAAACAGTATTAAAAATGTGCGACAATTCTGAAGTCGATCTGCCAAAAAAGTGTTTTAAGCATTCAAGCCGATTTGGATAAGAGAGTCTTCTAAGGAGTATGCACAGACCATCAATGCCTGAACAAGTTGTACGATTCGAGCAGTGGAATTCGTCAGGTAGCAGTAGTTTTTTTTTAAGTGTGAATAAATTTTCTCCAGTAAATCTGAAGCACTTACGGCACTGATCGTCATTGAGGTCATGTAATTTGATATATCTGTCGGACAAAGTATCATCTTCTTTCAAAGCAGAAAGCAACCAGATATCATCGTTATCTTCCACGGCAGCCAAAAGATTTATATTTGCCGCCATTACTAACTAAATTCACACGATTGTAAGTCGATTTACATATACCAGCACATGTACCCGTGCTCAACCGCTCTACTAATGAACATACCAATGTCCAATGTCCTCGTTCTCCGACATTGCAAAATACATAAAACAAGCATGGTGCAGTTTTTACAGTAACTTCCTTATATTTGCAGATACTATCAAATGTGAGAATTGGACACCGGGTGTCTGCCTTTTTTCATATCAGAATGTAGCAGCTATATATGTTAGTTCATTTATTTTTCTACATGACAATAGCTGTTTCAATCGGCATGTTAAGAGTAAGTTACTGAAATAATTGTTTTAAGTAGTCACTTATTCGTAATACTCAACACCGCTCCAACATTGTTGCACTTTTGTACCGCATGAATGAATCCAAGTGGCTCCGTGTGCTATTAATTAGATCTAGAGTGTAACATCACAACAACCTCGCAGAGGTAATACTATGACGTCATCAGCAGTGTGACGTCACTACATTTGGCGCCACGTCAGTGGCGAACCTCGGCTAAGTCTGAGGTCACAGAGTGCAGCGAGATGTAAACAAACAGTTTGTTGTTGTCTGTTTCACGATTAATGAGAAAATTATCACACATAATTAAAGCAGAACTACTTAACGAGATGCGGTGTTCATATACCAACGACATATCATCAATATTTACAGTCAACAATATCCTTACCTGATTCTGTAAAGTTCCATAAACAACAAAATGTCTGAAAATGTTCTCAACAAGTTCTCTCCTCAAACACAACAAATATTCTCACCTTAATACTGAATTATAAACAACGCGATGACGTGAACGGTACACACCACGTCAGTGTCAGTAACGACCTGTCCTCCATCACTGTCTACATCAACACTACATTCACTTCACTGTGTACCACTTGACACCAGGAGATCCAACAGTTCATGATGTCGCCACGTCGGCCGCTGTCTCCCCGTTGTTTTTCCTGGCGTTGATGTCCACCCCGTCCAGAGACAGGACAAAATCCACTGTCTTCCTGTCTCTTCCCACAGATGCCAAGTGAAGGATGTTGTTACCGTCATCGTCCACCAGTGACACATCAGCACCTCGACTCACAAGGAGCTCCACCACATCCCTGTGTCCCCGTTGTGCTGCCCACATCACCGGTGTCCAGCTCCTCCATCCTCTACTGTTGATGTCCACCCTGTCCAGATCCAGGACAAGCTCCACTGTCTTCCTGTCTCCTCCCCGACAGGCGTAGTGAAGGATGTTGTTACCGGCATTAGTCACCAGTGACACATCAGCACCTTCACTCACAAGGAGCTCCACCACATCCCTGTGTCCCCGCCATGCTGCCCATATCACCGGTGTCCTGTTCCTCTCTCTCCTCTACTGTTGACGTCAGCCCGACTTTTGTCCAGGATCCGCTTCACCTCCGCCAGGGTCCCCTCACTGCAGGCGGCACGGAGGTCGTCGTCTGCCCGGGCGTCTCTCCGTGCGGGTGTCGGTGTCGCTGTAACACAAAGTAAACTCTGTACACACTCGGACATCTTCATCTTACAGCTACATTGTTCACATCTTACACTAATAATACAAAACACTCGATACATCATCTATACATGCAGTATAGCTGACAGCAACATGGCGGGTGTACAGGGATCACAAGAACTGAAAGCAATATGGTGGGGGTACAGGGGATCACAAGAACTGACAGCAACATGGCGGGTGTACAGGGAATCACAAGACCTGACAACAACATGGCGGGTGTACAGGGAATCACAAGAACTGACAGCAATAAGGCGGGGGTACAGGGGATCACAAGAACTGACAGCAACATTGCAGGTGTACAGAGGATCACAAGTACTGACAGCAACATTGCAGGTGTACAGAGGATCACAAGAACTGACAGCAACATGGCGGGTGTACAGGTGATCACAACAACTGACAGCAACATGGCGGGTGTACAGGGAATCACAAGAACTGACAACAACATGGCGGGTGTACAGGGGATCACAAGAACTGACAGCAACATGGCGGGTGTACAGGGAATCACAACAACTGACAGCAACATGGCGGGTGTACAGGGGATCAAAAGAACTGACAACAACATGGCGGGTGTACAGGGAATCACAACAACTGACAGCAACATGGCGGGTGGTTACAGGGAATCCAAGGACTGACAGCAACATGGCGGGTGTACAGGGAATCACAAGAACTGACAACAACATGGCGGGTGTACAGGGAATCACAAGAACTGACAGCAACATGGCGGGTGTACAGGGAATCACAAGAACTGACAGCAACATGGCGGGTGTACAGGGAATCACAAGAACTGACAGCAACATGGCGGGTGTACAGGGAATCACAAGAACTGACAACAACATGGCGGGTGTACAGAGAATCACAAGAACTGACAACAACATGGCGGGTGTACAGGGAATCACAAGAACTGAGAACAACATGGCGGGTGTACAGGGAATCACAAGAACTAGTTGATGTTTTTCGCATATTAGTCATATACATGAATAGAATGTCATCTAACATCTCTAACACAGTTTTGTGTGTGTGTGAAAAGCATTCTAACAAATTCACCTTAGATAACATCATATACATAAAAAAATAACACTACCCACCACTATTGGGGGTGGATCCCAACAGCGTCTCTCGCCTCCCGGACTCTATCTGTGTTTCCGAGACAGCGAGCCTGACCACCCTTAGTCGCCTCTTACGACAAGCATGGGTTACTGCAGGCTAATATTCCAACCCGGACCTTCACGGGTCACGTACATACAGCCTGTACACTGTTTACACATACGTGTATAGTGTAATACATACATATGTACACACATAATCAACACATACGTGTATAGTGTAATACATACATATGTACACACATTATCAACACATACGTGTATAGTGTAATCCATACATATGTACACACACATAATCAAGAGTTGAAACCTGATGTCTGGTTTGACGTTTGGAGATATTTACATGTGTTTGGTCCCGGTGTCCGTATGAAACAAGTACCTGCTGCCTTATCCCTACAGTAGTCGTTGTCTATCCGCTCTGTTCACAACCTTATCTATTTCCCTAATAGTTCTAAAAGTATGATAAACAAACTTACCCCACTACTGTCCTCACACAACAGACACATCTCACTGCCAGTATGGAAATGCCCTGACTAGCGACACTAGTCACGCCAAGGGGCCAGCTATGACGTCATTGTGACGTGGCTTATTGGAAGCATGAGTGAGTGAGTGAGTTATTATTTAACGTCACATCGGCAATATTTCAGCCATATCGTGACGAGAACACTTGACATTAAATAGAATATATAGAGAAATAATAAAACCTGTCGACGAAGGACAGTAAAACAACTAGAACATCAAATTACAACTAAAACTAGTATTGAGAGTTAAAACTGATAGCACTATTTGGACAATACAATTTAAAACAAGCTATAGATCATTCCAACACCAGAAGGTAGATCACCAAACTAGGGATCATGGGGACTTATTGTACCTTGGCTACCTGCATGGACCCTAGTTGGTTTACACCATCCCTTCAGCTGCTGGCGATTGTAAGAAATGTTAGCTATAATTAAAAGACAAGAATGCTACGTCTAAAAATCCTGGCAAGTTTAAATTGACTTTGAAAGTTTTGGGACTTACATACCCCTCAGGAGGACAATAATTTTACGCTACGTCAACCCCCTTTGAGGGTACAGCCACTAACAATCTAAGTTACTAATCAAACTACCAATCATTAAAACACAGCTATATACAGAATATATTAATCAAAATTCATTAATGAAATCAATTTCTTTTAAAAAACCAAGAATTAAATGAAGATGAACAGAATTAAAAAGATCCTTAACAGTTTTAACATTGAAATATTTATCCCTTATGATGGAGAATTCAACACAGTCAAGCAGGAGATGCTTGACTGTGACTCTCTCATCACAAGGGATACAAAACGGAGGATCCTCACCTTTTAATAGGTACTCATGAGTATATCTGGTATGGCCAATGCGACATCGTCGCATAATGACCTCCTCAAATCTGGACTGACAACCCAAGGAAGTGTATCCTATATAGGGTTTTACTGCATGTAATTTATTGATACCTACTTGGGTGTCCCACTTCTTTTGCATCAGATCACGGATGTAAGATCTAATGCAAGCTTTGTAATCAGAGTATGGGAGCAGAAGTGGTGTCACAGATTTGTTGAGTGCAGCCTTAGCAGCAATATCAGCCATCGTGTTCCCAGAAATTCCAACGTGGCTGGGTAACCAACAAAAGACGATGTCACATTGGCCAGTAGCAAGCTCATTATACAATTCAATAATTTCTAATAAAAGTGGATGTTTGCAAGACAGATTTTTTATAGCCTGAAGACAGGAAAGAGAATCTGAAAAGATGATATATTGTTTATATTTGCGGTGTTTATTAATATATTTAAGAGCTGTTAAGATGGCGTTTGCTTCTGCTGTAAATATAGCGCTGTTATCCGGTATTCTAGAAGATATTGTTCGGGATCCAACGACAGTGGCACATGCCACTGCGCCACCATCCTTGGACCCATCTGTAAATAAGGATTTGTATGTAGTATATTTATTTCTTAATTGACTACATTCTTGTTTATACTGTAATTCATTTGTTTCTGATTTTTAAATGTAGTTAATGTTAGGTCAACTTGTGGCTAACCAATTGCCAAGGCGGAGAAGAAAGAAACGGGAAGGAGCTATATGTTCTAGCTCAATGCCAGCAGCAGAAAGGAAAGGTTTCACTCTTATACCAAGTGGGCGGAACAAGAGAAGGCTTTCTTGTTTTACAGATCTTTATATAGTGGATTAAAGACACAGTTATATGCAGGGGTTTGACTCATTGGAATAAAGTTTTGTAAGATACTGTAAAGAGTTAATTTTATACGGCGTTGTAAGAGATGGCTCATCAGCCTCGACGTAGAGGCTGTCAACAGGTGAAGTTCTAAAGGAACCAAGACATAGTCTTAGACCTTGGTGGTGGACAGAATCTAAAAGTTTGAGATTACTGTTGCAGGCTCCACCATAAACGATGGAGCCATAATCAAGTTTGGAACGTACCAATGATCGATATATAATTGTAGGAGGGTAGCTTGATCCCTCCCCACTTAGAATTGGAAACGACTTTCAAACCAGTCAAGTGCCTTCAAGCATTTAGTTTTTAGGGACTTGATATCGGGAAGAAACGTTAGATGCGAGTCAAAATTAAACCCAAGAACTTGGCCTCCTTTACAACTTTGATGGGAGTGCCATTGAGAAACAGTTCCGGGTCTTTATGCGGTTTATATTTTCTACAAAAATGTATACAATTAGTTTTGGATTTAGAAAATTTAAAGCCGTTTTCAAGACACCATTTATGTATTTTATTTAAACACAGCTGCATTTGCCGTTCAATGGTATGCATATTCTTACCGCGACAAGAAATGTTAAAATCATCCACAAAAGTGATCCATCAATTGAATCGTTTAAAACCTTGGATAAACTGTTAATCTTAATGCTAAATAAAGTGACAGACAAAATACTGCCTTGTGGGACACCCTGATCCTGATTATAATGGTCAGACAGGGTTGAACCCACTCGGGACTTGAAATTGCCTGTCTTTTAAAACTGTGATATAAAAAGAGGCAAACGACCCTTAAACCAAAATCATGTAAATCCTTTAAAATGCCATGCTTCCAGGTGGTATCGTATGCTTTCTCGAGATCAAAGAATATCGATACTGCATGTTGTTTATTTACTAATGCATTTTTGACAAAGGATTCTAAACGTACCAAATGATCAATGGTACTACGATTTTTCCTGAAACCACATTGAATATTTGTAATAAGGTTATTGGTTTCAAGATACCATGTTAATCTATTGTTTATCATTCGTTCCATGGTTTTACAGACACAACTCGTTAAAGAGATTGGTCTGTAATTAGACGGATCAGTATGATCCCGGCCAGGCTTTGGAATAGGGACTACAATGGCATTACGCCACGACGTTGGGAAATTCCCTGAAGTCCATATTGTGTCAAAAATATTTAGAAGAGTTTCCAAACAAGATTCCGGTAAATGCTTCAAGAGCTGATAGTGTATGTTATCAGCTCCTGTTGCTGTATCACGAGCTTGCTCAAGGGCAGTGTGGAGCTCATGTAATGAAAATAATTCATTATAGTCTTCGCCATTGTCTGAGTTAAAATTTATTCTCTTCTTCTCCTGTTGTTTCTGGTATTGTTGAAATTCCGGGACGTAATTTGACGAAGAAGAATGTTTGGCGAGAGTTTCACCAATCTTGCTGGCAATATCAGACTTATCTGTTAATAAAATATCACCATCCTTCAGATGGTGAACAGTAGATTTTGAACCTTTGCCCTTAATTCTTTGTATCATATTCCACACCTTTGACATAGGTGTACGGGAATTAATTTTGGAAACATAGTTCCTCCAAGACTGACGCTTAGTCTGTTTAAAAGTGCGTCGAGCCTTAGCATTGAAAATTTTTACTTTATCTAAATTATGAACTGTAGGATGTCGCCGAAAATACTTTTCAGCTTTCTTCCTATTCTTTCTGGCCTGTTTACAGTCATTAGTAAACCATGGTTTACGAATATGTGGAATTACAGAGGACTTAGGTATAGTTTGATCAGCAATGTCATTGAGGATATCAGAAAACAATTGTATAGGGTCGTCGCTGTTTGCAAAGACTTCATGTTTTAAATGGTCGACA